CCCCCCCCCCTCCTTTCCTAAAGGTGCGCACTCACACAAACGTTATGTGCCTGCAAGCCACTGCCACTGAGGGTAGGGGAAGGAGGTGGGGCAGCAAAGTGCTTTGACAACCGCAGCACACGCACACATACAGCCATCGAGGTGGGCTGGGTGGTGGGGGTGCGGTAGGGGACACACAAACAAAACTGCCATACTGTTCTTTTGTCGGCTTCACGTTAATAATTTTACTACGCACTCTAGTGGCTCACATTTTCACCGGACGGTTTGGGTCGAGTTGATGAAAACAACGCCCGCGGCTTGTTGGAGGCGCAATAAACAGGATCACAAACATATCATGTCTATCCTCAAATTTTGGCGGAGTTTTTTCAATGTGGGCTGTTAGTTAAAATTGTTGTCACGTTGAAATATTCCTTATGAATACCACCACATACCAGGTGGTTCATTAACCCCGCCTACTAGCCCATATGCACTGGCACGCACACTGTAAACGCCGTGATCGCCTTGATGACAAAAATGTTTGAAATCCTTTTTTGATTGCTAAAGTACGGCAGTGTTTAAGAGACCAATTTTTTTGCCTCTCTTTTTGCCAAAATTTTGCATTCTTGAAGCGGCCAATAAGATAGCGTTCTTAAAAAGATACGAAATTTTTGGCAAAAAATGGGCTAGAGACAGTCAACGTTTTGGGAAAGCTAGGTAACCACCACGATGTAGTTAATACGGTGTAGGCTCTCCGGCCTTCAACTTCAACTTCAAAAAGGGTTATAACGACTGCTTGGCTAGCGGGCAAAGAGACGGCCGCGGAAAGACGGCACCTTCGTAGTTCCAGAAGAGCCGCCAGTGGCGCTGGCGTTGACCGATGCCGGGCGAGGGGAGGCAGGAGGGGACGGTAGCGGTGCCCCGCTCGTCTCGTCCCTTCTCCCCCCGCCCGGCATCGGTCGACGCCAGCGCCACTGGCGGCTCTTCTGGAACTACGCATGTGCCGTCATTCCGCGGCCCCCTCAGATAGCTCAGTGCCGACACCGTATTAACTACATCGTGGTAACCACGATGCTACAATGACAAACCAAGTGTGCAATTGCTCAACACTTGTAAGAGTGCAACCGCAAGTTATATACTTGCAAGTAATCAACTCGTTGTGCACCATTTAACAAGTTGTGCACTTGTAAGGGTGCCACACTCCTGTTAACCACTTCACAAGATCGGAAGTTTGCTGTGCGGCAAGAGTTCAACAGCGGAGTTTCACACGTACAAGTGCATAAATACCAAATTGAACACTGGGAAGTATTTAACTTGCGGTTGCACACTTACAAGTGTTGAGCAGGTGAACACTTAGTTCATAAGTGGCGTGTTGGCAGCGAAAGCATCCCTTCGATTCAGATTTTGCTGCGTAGGACACTTTCGAGCCTTGCCGTGTTTCTGGTCCACTTCGTCCACCAGGACATGACGACGGAGCGGCGCAGGTCAAATTCTCTAAGCGACACGGAGACATGCATGGGCCTCTAGGAATGTGGTGTGGTGGATAGGGCTACGGCCGGGTGGGGATGGCAGGGCGGGGCGGGTCGGTTTTGTGATAGTCACATTCCACCGCCAGCCATAAGGCTAGTCACGAACGCCCAAAGCAAAGCAAGCGGGAGGCGGGCATGGCGTGGCGCTCACCCGGTGAGTGGTGGCGACCTCTCCTCAACTCAAAGAGGTTCGAGTTCCCAGCTGCTTAAATTCCTGCATCCTACGTGTGGTTGTCGTCGCGGTCCTGTGCACCGCAGCGCCGTTTCTCCGGGACAACCTCGCTCGTCCAACATTGGCTCTTAGAAGTGTGCAACATGGAACACTAGACCCGTGCGGACCGAGCTAACAAATGCTGTTACTTGACAAACTAGTAGGTAAAGAACGCATTTACACTCCGCACATAAATCGGTTATTGAAGACAAAATCCGCGAGCAAGCTAGTCAAGCCAAAGTTTAGAGGAAGATGATGGGGTCAAAACCTTAGAAGGCCTATATCGACAAAGGGAAGGGGGCGGCGAGGCAGGGAATGGGAAGCAGTCCATAACCGTTATCATCATCTTCACTAAATCATAATTTCGGACTCCTCCCCCTTATCTTATACCGACCCCCTCTTCTGTCTGCTGCCCCAGGGCGTGGCGTGGCGCTGCTAGGCAAGGTGGGGCGTTGGCGTGGGGCAGCGGTGAGCCTGCGTGGCGCCAGGCACAGCGGCCAGCTGTGCCGTGGTTCTGACGCTGAGGGCTGGTACACACCGCACACGAATGGGAACGGCACGCCGCCAGCGGCACGGTGCGGCCACGAAAACTCGTCGCTTATTCGCAATGGCAAAAGCATTTGGGATAGCCGCTGGCGGGGCCGCAGTGTGCTCACCGCACCGAGCTGCGTCCGTCTGCCACACCGCTTGGGGCCACCCACCTCCGCTATACTGTACCGACTGTACAGTGTACCTCGCCCGCAGGCAGACGCTTAATCCTCATCCCCTCCCCGTCGGTTTCGTTCTCTTACGTTGATGAGTAGAAGCAGGCGCCAGTTATGAATTGGATCTAAAAAAATGTATCGCTGTCCTGAGTTGCTAGCTGACACGAGCCTGATGTTCCCACACTGCAAATTGCTTACGAACAACAGGTTCCTCGTGCCAAACCAAAACCTCCGTAGCTTACGAAGGATTTTGAAGAGTTGTATAATGAACAACACTACTGTGGAACATTTGTTAGAAAATCTTACTGTAAATGTCACACGTATTATGGATCACAAATTATTCATAGTATGAACAAAAGGTCTATACTTTACGGCTGAAGGGGAGGGCATGTCTGTAATATGGATCCAATTGTCTGTAATACCAAAAATTGTATCCATATTAAGGATAATTTATGATCTATAATACGTTTGCACAAAATTCTCTTCAACATACGGATAGCTCATCCGTTGGGAAATGAGAGTGTACGACTCCATCCCGTATATTTTTTGGACGCGCCAGACCGTAAAGATATTGGATCGTACTTCATTGTAAGTCTGTCAGTCAAGTTCTGTATTGACCACAGACATTTGGCGAAGTGCGAAGTTACGGCACATCCTGCATGGGGTGGACCGTAATCCAAAATTATACGGTCGCGGACCTGGTGACAAATTGAAGGCGCGCACCTGAAACATTTCCCGTAGGTTTTTCTAACAACTTGCGCTAGGTTTCAGCTTTGTCGGTACGCGGGGCAGGAGTGACAGGCCGGGTGTGGGCGTGGTTGGTGGGACAGTGGACCGGCGCTACGCAGCGCAACTTAATGTACTCTTCATTACAACGAACAGCTCCGCTGCGAATCGTGGCTACGCCCCGCCACGCCCCAACACGCCCTCCACAGAAGAGGGCTCCCCGTCGGCCTCGTTTAGGCATGCATGTGTTCCCGTAAATGGAATTCAAAGGCTTCTTCATTCTTCCCGCCACGATGCACCCGTACGGCTCCGCCTTGCATACCAAGTGCCGTCCCACCCCCGCCCCGGGACGGGCTGGGGTCGGGGGTGAAGGCGCTCATCACCTCTCTTCGCGCTCCGGAAATCAACTCATATTTCAGGGGGGCGGTGGACTGCACGGCCGGACGGCCAGGCACGGCACGGTGGACTACACGGGGCGGCCAGCTGTTGGAACACGATAGGGTGG